TCGGTGCTACAAAAGCAAAAGACACGCTAGGTTAAAAAGGTAATGTTCACAAGCCCAATATAGTTATTATGGTAAACAAGCACAATTCAATCACGGCTTATGTAAATTTCTGTAAGCTTCCTCTGCATGGTGTATATGCATGTCAAAAACAACAACAGAACGATCGTTTGGTCGGGTGATCTTAACGTTAGTATCTTCAAACAGATGACGCTTGCTTCCGATCCACAAGCTGAGTTCTTTAGCTTTAGGTTTCTCAATCTGTTAGTTCTGAAAGTGCCACTTACCCAAAAACTTTTCTATCTACAAAGTAAATCTTATTGTCCCACGAATAAAAAAAATCGAAAAAAATTAATTTAGCAACTATTTTGGTTATTTTATTATTATTATTTTTATTTTTATTATTATTATTATTATTATTGTTATTATTATTATTTTTGAGCTTCCAAAGATCCCGAAATTGGTGTCTTTCAAGTTCACGACCGAGAAGTAGGGGGGAATGGGGCGGATTGGCTCATGACATCATCCCGGAAATTATTCATATCAGTTAGCGAGAAAGCAGTCACACTGCAGCCTAGGAGAGAACTACAGAATTATGCTCGGAAGATGTGTTGTTGTTGCTTTGATCAGGATATCTTCTAAAGACTTTCCTTAAATATTGCTCTTGAGCGCGGTTGGTTTTGAATATGGTGCCAAATCAGAAGGGAAGAAGGTTAACTGTAATTCTTGTCTTAATGATGAAAAAGCTATCAGTTATTAAGTCATTTAACATTCTCTCACTGAATCCAAATTTGTGTTGTCAACAGACATGTTCAGCGTCCTTTCCGCGAGATTATTCCTCTTGACAAGTGGGAAATTCTTCCCAAGCAGGTGCATTATGAGGAGGAACTGGGCCGAGGTGCATTTGGTGTGGTTTACAAAGCAACTCTTACGAGAAGAGCTGGAATAGAAGTGTTTGAAACAAGAGAAAGACTAAAGCCAGAAAAACAATGTCAAGTTGTCGCGGTAAAAGTATTGCAGGGTGAGTAGATATAGCGCCTAAATACCGTCAAAATGAAATTTTTAATCGCTAAGAAAAGGATCTGCCGTTGCATGGAATCATAAGTCGACTGGTAACATCTTATAAGCTTTCCTTTTAATATATCAAGCCAGAAGGGGCTAGTTCACGACTTGCGCATGCGCTGTAATAATCGAGATGGCTGCTACTCTCGTGGGGTTTCAAGCATCCTATTCAATCCAGGGGCTGTTGCGAACGCCCAAGGGTCTAAGACTGGACTCACAATCGCTAAAAGCATCAATACCATCTATCCACAGGTGATCCAAGCGATGAGCAAAGAGAAGCTTTCCTTCATGAAATATTACAAATGAAGCTGTTGGGTTCACATCAAAATATCGTGTCTTTGGTCGGATGCTGCACACTGCAGGACACCAAGTTTCTGGTGATAGAGTATGTTCCGTATGGTGATCTCTTACAATGGTTACGGCAAAAGAGGCGATCGGTAAGAGGAGAGAGATTTTCCTGAGCAAGGCTAACTTTTTGTATTTCGATGTCTGTGAGAAAGGAAGAGGCTTAATCATTAGTCTTGTATTACGTTTCACTAGATTCTGGATAAAAAAATAACAACTTTATCTTCTACCCTTATTCTGTATATACATATCTGTGGTAAATATTACGCCTATTACGCTTCAGGTAAATAAAAATCAAGCACTCAGAGGAAAGGAGGCGGAAAAGTTTTATGAAGATAGAGACACTCCGATTGATGAGTTGAAAAGATGCGAAACTAGTCGAGTAAGTATTTTTGTGCTATTTCGGTAGTTTAGGCTATGGGGAAGGCTTTGCCAAGCAAGTCGCGATTGACCGTATTTATATTAGTATTCATTATTCCGTCCATTGAATTGAAACTCGAAAGTAAGGTGAAATGTTTCCTAAAAATATTATTCCTCTAAGAAATAAAATGTAGTCAAGCTAAAGGGAATCAGAGACCCCTCCCCTCACCCCCGAAAAAATCAAGGAGAAAAATGAGGTGCTATTTTGCTTGAGAGGAAAGCTAGGCTCCTTGAGGCCCTTCAGGAAAACTACTCCACCTCCACAAGCGCGGTTGTAAAAAGAAGATTAAGGTAGATAACTCGGCGACTTGGCGCAATTTCTGTCGCTTTGCATGGACTATGCGGTACGGAAAAGTGCTTTGTGAACAGGGAATGCCTTCTTCGGATTTTATTTGTCAAAATAAAGTTCGACGGATATCAAGCATTCATAGTTATCTCCCTTCCATGCAAGCCATCCCACCATGAATCATGATCTAACAGTGAACATTAATCTATTAATTTAATTCCTTCCTTTATCACTCAGAAAAGTTGTGACAGTGCTGTAAATCAGGAAAATATCGAATTGATGTCAATGCCATCCAGTCCAGGTTACTATAACCACGCTGCTGTCATT